AATGGCGTATGGCGGTACACGATGGTTTGCCAAAATTCCGCCGTGGCGGCCTATGGCACTGCCATGACCGCCATCCTTCCACAAATTTTGCATGGCGGATTGTCAAAAATCCGCCACGCCATACCGCCATGGCTGCCATTTGATAACTGATCAAAACTTCAACATAATTTATGCTAATCAATTACTCTTTCCGCCAAATGTTTAGCCTCCAGATCAATTAATCTCTCCCACTTTTTGAGAAAAGCAATGTGTATGGTCGTTAAATGGGAAACAAGTGAATTGTACACATCACCCACTCCACTTCCTTCAGCGATTCCACCATGTGCCTTCACAACCAAAAACAACAAGATAGAAGTTTGGATGATACATGATACAATAAAGGAATCAACGCTCAAGTAATTTCATGTTATTTTGTTTAAGCTGCAGGCTAAAGGCTCAGTTCAATTTTTGAATGACTTGTGCATATTATCATTCCTCTCCGGCACGATATCTGGACTAATTCTCAGGCTACAGGCTCAGTTACATAGATTCAGCATATCTCGCCAATATTATTTCACTTACTAAAGTAAAAAAGTCCCAAAAAGAGAGAGAGAATTCATGGATATTTAGATGGCCTGATTGAGTTATGATTCAATAAAGTATGAAACATCTTTAGGAAAATAACACACTGATGGGCATGGTCCAGGCCCGAATGGCAAAAGTAACAGTCTAGCTATTAGATAATGTATAATGCATTGAAAAAAATCCATGCCAAAGCAGGATAGCAAACCTTGTGGTAAATATTACAGACACTGAGGTGGCGACAGCTTCTGCATATGTTTGGATTCTGCATAGAATTGTATTCAATAAGAAATGTGATTCGTGTGAAAATTCCACTCAGAAATTGAAATAGTAACAGAGGTCCATGTACTTGTAACATTGGTGGCAAGTGCTGAGTAGTCAATGCCTTAAGCAGGTCATTTGCAAGCTCATTACGACGCATTATCAGCCCAATCAAATCAGACCTTCGTACAGAGACTCCCTTCACAAAACATTCATGTCAGTATTAAAAAAAATTGTGAAGTCGCAAGAACCAGGGAATGACCTGATAAGATGTCGGTACCTGTGTTTGATCAGTGTGAAGATAATATAGAAGACCATACTCAATATTCGTCATGTATCTGAAAGAACATAAAACAAACAAGATATTATGTATTTAGAGTAAGCATTAAATCAGAACAGAATAGTGCAGGGAGAAGTGCTGAAACATCTTCCAGGGTTACACACCTCTCTGACATCAGGAGAGTGTATAACATAACTTGTGCACTATGCTCCATAGCAGTCTGCATAACATATAAACAACAAAAGGCAAGAATGGAATGCTATGAAGTCAAGTTGTACGCAAAATATAAATGAATAAACAAATAAATAAAAAACAGACTGTCAGATTACATCCAATTAAAAGACAGCACAGAAAAAATGTTCAATTTGCTGCTCTGTCACAAATATGGGCTGGATTATCAGATGACTTGCCTGCCCACTAGTTCCCTTCCCAGTCTTGAACTCCAGAGGCATAATTATCTCGCTAGCTTGTCCTGAGGTAGTAATACTTTTTACACGGACAGAAGCATCGACCATCCCTTTCAATCCATACTTTGGTGCCCAAGCCATTT